GGAATGTAAGGGGACATTAGATTATAAAGTACGATCACTATGAGGACTCAACATTTTGGATGGAGTGTATACTATGACTTCTCGCCAAAAAAAACTTACTAATTGACCGGGTAGAAGCGAGAATGCTCATTAACATAATTTTTGTCAGCCGAAACACGGAGAAGTTCACATATTGATATGAAGTGAGGTCCAAATATTAGGTATTAAATTATTTCGATTATCAACGAGAATTGAACCATTCAGCGACACTAGATGCCGATTTCACGAAGACGCAAATAGGATAAAATATGGAATATGAATATTAGCCTGCCAAGCTAAAACGCAATTTCAGAATTCACTACAGACAAATCAAAAAACGATGGCGTAATATATGACAAGACTATAGGAATTTTTTCAGATTTTTTGCGATATTTTTAGACGTTGCCAAAACGATTTGAAATTCTCCAAAAATATCTGACCTAGTGGCAATTTGCCACTAAGGAGGGTGGTGAAAAGTCAAATGGCTTTATGGCTTTATGACAGTCCTTCTCCAGGTACCAAGAGTGAGCATCTTCGGACATAGAAGGTCTGCCTATACTTATTCCCGAGACTACCTGAACTGAGACACTGAAAAATATTTCTCAACCATCAGAATAGTTGATAAATGTTATATTCATTTTTTTATGCGACAAAATTACTCATTCACTTTTTTATTTCAGACTACACCCAGAAAAATGACTCATTTAAATCAAATAAAAGTAATTATTTGAAAAAATTTAATTCGACTCAAGAATATATTTATTAAAAATTAATAAACTCATTTACTTGTTTCAACTAAATTAATTTATTTACATGAAATAAATAAAATATTTATTTCACAAATCTTTTATTAAATGTAAATGAACTGTTTATTCATTCCAAATACATCGTTTATTGGAATCAAATGAATGGTTTGTTCGTTCAGAATGAACGTTTATTTGGATCAAATAAATCAGGTATGGCAAAGGGGAGGGGGGAGAACCGCAGAGGATCTAATCTTTAAAAAAAAAACCCACTTGATGTTTGGGCCTCTGAAAACACAATGAAACCGTTCCAAATAATATCCCGAGTAGATTTTCTTCTTCTGAAGATGGATTTTACTATTAAAACGGTCCATTCCACCCCATGGTCTAGTTCACCCCGTTTTCCTCTCTAATTTATGTATTATTAGTATCACAAAGTTTCACTTAATTGGAAGAAACAATTTTATGAAATCAAAGAAACAATCTATTTGAATCGATAGAATCAATTTGAACAGAATTCTGTCATAAAAAGAACAAATGCAGTTATAATTAAAAAAGTATTTATTAACATTGAAAAAAAAATTTAACGTAAACAAAACTTTAAATAATAACAAAGTTTTTAAGGAAAAGAAAATTCTTCCTTCTCTTTTCATGCTGAAAAGGCGTTGAGCACCCTCGTGAATATATAGCTATGAGTAAAAGTCATTGAATGCCCCAGTCAGTGGACACTGAAATACGCTCCCGACTAGTAGGCTTATAAACAATTTTCTCAAAATGGAACTTTTGTGATTTTAACTTAATGTGATTTTAACTTAATTGGATAAAGAATCCAGAGGAATTTGGATTACTCACCCTGGAAAGCAAAAGCAGAACATGAAGAAAACACCATCACTATTCTAGTGCTCACGAGAAGGGGGCATTACGTAAAGACCAGTCATCACTTCAAATTAAGATATTTCCTCCATTCAAGTTTTGTTGTTATCGTTGGAATACGGGTGATACCATCATGTGAATTTTGTTATTTAAAACGCAAAATAATAAAAAATGTTATTCTAGTAACAAAAAGGCAGTTTATGATATATTGAGGGTAATAAAAGGCTGTCCCTTTTGAGGGGAGGGCGAGCCAGCGGACTAACCTTCTCCATTTCAGGTATATGGCCTTCATAATGGCACTATCTAATCCAAGCACTTGTCACCCTCCGAAAATTGCTGAATTTTCTTTTGCGTGTTTCTTTGATTGAGTATAAGACAAAATATCCATTGTTTCACGAGACGATGGAGAGATAGTTGAATAATCATTTGAGAGAATCCGGAAAGGATTCGACACGTTGTGAGGCATTGAGACATGCCTAAAAACCCCTGTTTTGAGCGATAATCCGGCTTTTTAATTTAATGAAAAATGACCCGAGGACCGTGATAAAACATTTGCTTCATTCGTCAGTCGTTTGGAAACACGTGCTGGAATTTTAGAATAATAATATGAATATCTTCTCAATAAAATCAGGGATTTTGATTTTATTCCTCTCTTCACGGTCATAATCCCATAAGATTTTTGAATCGTTTTGGCAACGTCTAAAAATATCGCAAAAAATTGAAAAAATTCCTATAGTCTTGTCATATATTACGCCATCGTTTTTTGATTTGTCTGTAGTGAATTCTGAACTTGCGTTTTAGCTTGGCAGGCTAATGAATATACATTTGATTGATGAATCTGATTGAAATCAATCACTTTTCATCATATGACATTCTCATCAATCGTTAATAACAATTACACGTCAAGTCACTCCTGAGCACATCGACTTATTCAACGTATTGAATAGTTTGGGGATATATGGAATATATGAGGACATTCGCATTTTACTGTATGTACATTTTGAGAACATATGGGATATATGGCGGCATTCACATTCTACGATACGTTCATTACAAGGACTTGACACTAACAGAAGAACCTTACTAATTGACAATGCTGAAATAATAATTCTCATGAACTTATTTTTGGTAATGAAGAAAAGGACAAGACATTAAGTAATGATATGAATCATTCAAAAAACAGTTTATACAAATTTGATAGAGTACATTACTCTCGAAATTTATTCTATTTTCCCTGACTTTTTTTTATCACGTTGGTGGTAGGCCACATACAGTCGTTGATTAGTGTTCTGATTACCAAATTAAAATAATTGTTAAGTTTTCCAATCGATAGAAATTCAACCATTCAACTCAAACTAACTCATTCAAATTCAATGGAACAAGTTCCTCTTTAAATCCCAGTTATAGTCTCTGGCCATTTTTCTGTCACGATAGTAGTAAGGGTCAGACATTCGTAAATTTATGTGTTCAATTACAGAGTTTCATAATCTCTATTCCGGATAATTAATAACATGGCTTAAATATGCTGTCAGTGCAAATAAGATCAGTCAACTAATATCGATGCCGGTTCATAGGGTGAGAAAATGGAATGAAACATTGACAGCACTCATTACTTCATCATGAATTATTTCTTGGATCATTGCTGAGACATGAACGAATTTGAATAGTATTGGTTAGTTTGAAGACATAGTGATCACATGGAGACATTTGCATTTCACTATAGGGGATTAGGAGGACATGCAGAAAATATGAGGACATTCAGATTCTACTATACGGTTATTATGAGCACTCGACAATTTATATGTTTCGTTTATGAGGTCTTGCAGAAACATCTCCTTAATTAATCTAGTTTGTAAAGTAATCATCATCTATGGTATATTGTTACTGACCACATTATGGAGGACTTGGACACGAAATTTTCCTTCAGTTAATCTTTATTGATCTATTCGTTGAAAAGCAATTGTCACTTTAAGTCAGCCGTTGTATAAAGATATAAATTAAAATGAAAAAATCAGCTTATACAGATTTGATGGAAGAGATTTCTCTTATAGTTTAATTTGGATTTTCTACACATACCCTCGTACATGTTCTGTTCCAATTCCAATGTTTAATAAATCTTTATTTCGCTCAAACCAGAATATGGCCAATGAATGCTGTCAGAAATACTTGAACCATTCAACGGAATGAGATATCGAATTTTGGAACGCGAAAATAAGTTAGAATATTCACTTTTATAGTCAATTTAGTATAGTCAATTTTTATTTATGATTTTCCGTCGAATCATTTCTGAGAATATCAACATATTTTATGAATCGGATGGTTTGAAGGCATATAAAATACATTCGCATTGTGTTCTACGTACATTATGAGGACATATGGCATATATGAAAACATTCGGATTGTACAATACGGTCACTATGAGGACTATACTATGTGTACAATTTATACTGTGACATCTAGCCCGAAAAATCTTACTAACTGATCGGGTTGGAATGAGAATTTTCATTAACATAATTTTTGTCATAAACAAAAGTTCAAATAATGATATGAATTGAGGGTTACATATCAGCTCATATAGATTTGATGAAATGATTTGTTTTCGAAATCCCAATTATATTCCCTATTTTCGATCACAATAATTATAGGGTGCAAACACGCGTCGATTTGTATTTTAACTACAAGGTTTGATAATTTTCCAAGAACGTCAAACCAGAACATGACTGAGTTGCCCTAGCAATAAGAATTGAACTATTTAGCAGAACTGAATATTCAATTTTCTGATACGAAAATAGGTTAAAATATTGGAGACACTTGATTGATAATTGTGATTGAAATCAATTACTTCGCATCATATGACACACTCATCAACTGTTAATAATAATTGGGTATTTGCATGAAAATGATTTTGCACATAAAATTAATTTAATCAATTCTTTGATATCCATAAAATACCTAAATAAGATTGAAATTTAATTTTAACAAATTATTTTTAAATAAATAAATAAATAAAAGTGGTATAAAAATCACGTGACGTGAAACGTGATGCGATTGGTCTGACGTCATTGTGCATATTTTAGCGCGTTATTTGAATGCATGATAAGTGACGGACGATAAATCGTTGGAAAAAATTTCAAGCTCGTTGTTATTTACAGTGAATTTTATTATATTCTATTATTAAGACTAAAATTCACTGAAAGTAGAAAAAAAAATTGAAATAAATTTCATACTAATGTTTACTTCAAAAACTGACAAGAATATTAGCATAGAGGTTATGAACACACTCTATATCATTATACAACATGCTGAGTGGTACTAGTGATACATGTGCACGGTCAGTGAATAATAAATAATTAAAAAGAAATAAAAATGCCTCGAAGAAAAGTAGATCCTGGTTTCAGTGAAGCTCGATCAGATAATTTACCACGAGTTGATGCTTTTATGGTCACATCCTACTTAGCTACAAACTCTGCTTTTGTATCAGCAGAAATGCAAGGAGCAAAAGCTAACCTGTACGTATAAATTTTTCATGACACTGAATTTAGTCTTTATTTAATAATTTTTGGATTTTGTTATAAATAATAATTTTAAAAAAAATTATATAGAAAATTCCACCAGTCATTTCTTTGGTTTTCTTTTTTAAAGTGAGATTCTGAGATTGAAAAAAATCCAAAAAATTATAAATATCAGTTAATTTTTAATCTACAACAAGTATTAAAGTACATAAGTTGAAATATTAGATTAAAAATACTAGACGAAATATTAAAATAAATATATTGAAATGTAGATCTGGGAGAAAATCATATGGAGATGCTGCTATTGAATTCGTACAACTAAAACTTCATGGATCAGAATGTACTCTTAAATGTCTTATTTGTCCTGAGCACAGAGTACACAATAAATCATATCGAGTGACTCTCGTTTTAGACATTGTTGAGGAAGAGATTTTGTCTATCCAATGTCATGATTGTGCCGCATCGTCAGGTAAATGTTATTGTTCAATACGAGAAACGAAAAAAAAAATCGATCAAAAATGAAAGACCTCCAAATTAATTATTTTTTCTTCCTTAGGTGGATGCAAGCACTCGATCGCTTTCATAATGTGGTTACACAGGAGATCGGAAGAACCTTCACCGACAGATATTGAATGTTATTGGCGAAAATCAGTTCTATCTCAAGTTGGATCATCAATAAAATTTATTATGGTAAAAGATTTTGCCTCTAATAAAGAAGTTACTGCTGTGAATAAACCTTTTAATACATTAGAAGAATTTGTAAAAAAAACAAATCAAAAAACTGTACAGAGTCAAATTTTAAAATACTTCAATGATGTAAATAACGAGCAAAGTCTTTCGATCCATAATTTATTAGTAAATTTTATTAATGAAGGAGGAACATCTTATGAGGAATTTGTAACATTCAGTAAAAGTCGAATGTCGAAAGATTTGTGTGAACGTATTGAAAAAATCACTCAGGATCAAGCAAACTGTGAGCTCTGGTTTACATTGCGATACGGGCGAATTACTGCATCAAAAGCATATGAAGCATCACGTTGTAATACACCGGATGGAGTTCTAGTGGAGTTGCTAGTTGGTGGTAAAAAATTGCGGAGTACAAAAGCTATGGAACGAGGCAAAGAATTAGAAGCGATGGTTTTACAACAAGTTGAATAGAAGATGAAAAAACAGTTTAGTAGTTACCATAAGCCAGTTCTGGACCAAATGTTGGCGAGGGGGTGTGCGGGGGCAGGAGGCAGGAGGCAGCAGGCAGGAGGCAGCCGGCCGGCGGCAGGGGGAAGGGGGCCGCTGCGGCTGGAGTCGTGATGGTGGGGGAGTCGCTGTGGGTAAGGTTTTTTGCTAGTGAGTGGGGTTGCTCGGTGGTGGGGGGTGAGTTCAAGGTGTGCGTGGATTGGCTCAGCCGTAACACGCGGGAAATTTTGAATGAAATAGATGCGCTCATCATCATTCCTATGGAATTATCCCGTACTGAGGGAAGGTATTTTTAAAAAAAATATAGAATGCATATAGATTGTTTTTTATACATATATTTTTTTCTTTTTTTGTTACATTTTCATAACCTTCAATATTTATATCAATCATGTTTTCCTGGAGTGGGTTTCTTTGTTGTAGGGCTTACTACCCTCCAAGGTTTTGGATTTCTCGAACTCTTCGCGAAATGTAGCGGTGCGTCTCTGCGGCTGCTATTCTTTTAACCAACTGCTCTCCCGAGATTCTGAGTTCTGAGGTCGTTTATCCATTTTTTCCCATATAATTTCCTTAACGGTTGATTAATAAGTTCATCAATAAGAACAAAACCATAAATTGATTGAGGATAATTTCGGGTGATTCTTCCGTGTGGACCTCTGTGTTCTTGAAGAATTTGCAGAGGGGACAGTTTTTCTTCATTGGAGCATTGGAGGAATGATGGAGATGACATCTTCGACAATTCACGATATCTTCATCCTTTTGCATATTTTCCGGTAATTTATCCCAAACATTCTCAATACTATGTGCAGCGCACATGAGCAAAAAACTTTTTGGGAGAATCGCTATGTCTTGAGTGCTCATTCCATCAAGACTTTTCGAGTTACAGAACATTTCCAAAGATCGTTGCAAACGGTTGCCATGTTTCACAACATACCAGGTTCTCAAATTTTTCACATTTTCCAATGCACAAACGAATGGGTCCTCGTCATCGTCATCATTATGAGGATGCAAACATTTCGACAACTCAAGGTCCGATAATTTCGGACAATCTAAATCTTCTAAATCGATCACTGATTGTGAACTTCCAAGAATCCCTTCCAGCCACTGTTTCTTCTGTAATCCTTTCACATAGAGGTTAGCTGCGTCTTTGAGAACTTCTTCAGCAATCTGTGGAAGCTCAGAATATGGTGTGTCTCCGGTTTCCCAGCGCAAGCCATGGAAACTGTTGATTAGCCATGTGTTGGAACGTTTAGCTTTAGCTGACAAGTCATCCCATGAATATGGTGGTTTGAAGAGCACACATTCAACTCGCTCAAGGTCATCAATATATGCAACTGCCAGTTCTTTAACGATAAATTTATTATCATCACTCTGAAATCCTTGAACGTCCACAATCGCGTCCATCTTTACACTGTAACGTTCTGAGTACGACTGATCACTACGCTGAAAGTACTGCGTATTTTCTTCAAGAATTAGATTGCATCATTATGCGTCATATTTCTCAGAAGTGTTTACATTTTTGGAAGAAGTGCGCATATTTTTTTTGCGCAGTTTCAGGGACAGTGGTTCGGAGTGGGAGAAAATTGCGACATATTTCTGAGAAATGTTTACACTTTTAGAAGAAGTGCGCATATTTTTTCGCGCAGTTTTCAAGGACAGTGGTTCGGAGTGGGGGAAGATTGCGTCATAAGAGGTAATACTTCCCTCATTCCTTTTGGCATCAGTTTGCATCATGGATCACTTGAGTCCAAACGAAGTGAAATTGTTATGCGCACTTCCACCATTTTTGGTGGATTATAATGATATTGTTATTAGACATTATGGTGAAAATCCAACACAAACGGCGCAAGACTGTTTTCGTGATTTCCTGGATTTGAAAGAGAATTTGGCACTCATCAAGAGTTTACGAATTGGACCAAATAAAAAAGATCTCCAGTTGACAACTGACGAAATTCATTTGTTAAAGTCGATTTCGCCATATGTCTGTGAGTACGACGATATTGTTATCAATCACTACGGTAACAATCCCCCGCAAACATCATGGGATTTTCTCCAAGATTTCCTAGATTTGGAAGGAAATTACAAAATTGTGAAATTACATCGAGACTCAAACATGGATGGGAGCGAGGAACAAACAGACTTGGTTGATAAAACCTCAGAGACTCCTCATTTTGCGCAACAACAACAACAACCACAAGATCAAGGACAAGAACAACAAAACCAAAATCTGGTAGAAGAGGCACTGGCCAGCTCTTCCAAAATCAATACAAATACACCGGTGAAACGAACCAAAGATACTGCTGCTGCATCTGCGAAACGTCATCATCATCATCATCACTGTGAAGCGAAGGATAGACAACGTCCTCATCCCTATGGGTCCAAAAAATTCAAGAAAAATAAGGAATATTTTTTGAAATAAAATGAAAACATATTCACATTGTTATATGAAAAAAAACTTTTTATTGCTAAAAATATATGTATACAATCGATATAAACAATGTTTTTTTTTTCTTCTTTACATCATATTTTTAACTCCTCCACTAATCGGGTGATACTCCACTATACGATCATGTAAGATTAAGCAATAGGCTGCAGTTTGAGGGGGGAAATGACGATCAGCCTCGAATTCAAGACGAATATCTACTGGTCCGGACTTCAAGTACTCATTTTGCTTTGAACAATCAATGACAATGAGTGGAGCATAGCTGAGGAATTCTGTCTTGCTCAAGAGTGGTTCAGCTTCTTTACCATAGTAAGAGTTTTGGAAATTCGTATACATATTGTAGAGTAACGCATATTGATTATGGCTGATATCAAGATTCAGATTACCATAAGGGTAACTTTGAGAATTCAGAAAGAGCTTTATGTCGCGGATATTACAATGATCAAAACGACTCGCATTCTTATTGGTTCGATTTTTGCGGTCAGTTTGGAATCCCACAATGACGTAGCGAGGTTTCTCTAATTGAGTTGAACTTTTCACCACCCAGACATGTTTAGAGGTCGCCGGTAGGAGTGGATACTCATACGTCTCCCAGGCTCGAAAACTGATGGGAATCGGGGCGTCCTTGGAAATGTAGTTCAACAGATTGATTTTCTTGGAATCAGCTACTTTAATGTAGGGAATCATCCACTCCAATTTATCCAGTGAGAGTCTGAATGCTTCAGCAGCAGCTGCTCCTGCCGGTGCTTGGATGACTGCATTCACATCACTGTTCCCACGTGTTAGAATGAGTTCATGCTTCGCATTGACAATGATTCTTCCATAGTCCTCAGCAAAGCCCAATAACATACTCAAAGGTATGGAAATATCAAAATAGCCATCCTCATCAGTGACTGTTGATTCATCATCTTTAAGGATCCAACCTGCATTCTCCAGAAGAGCAGCTTGACTCGGAGTTTGTGAGACGAAATTCTTCATCAGTGTTGTGATACCAACATTCTTGTTTCTGTCAATGACAATGGCGTTTAATTCGTAGCGAATTTCTTCGAATAAGTGGAGAACCGCGCAATTCACTAATCTTGTGTGCGTCACAGCTCCTCCATCTGCTTTGGTCAAGCGTCCATGTATATGCAATGAACTTTTGCTTGGCAGCAGGCACAAGTCTTGATGTTGGACGGCGATGCGAATTTCATCATTATTATTGAAAGTCGCCGATGCAAAAGGCTGATGTGCATGAATCTCGTAATGAGCGATTGATTCGTCGAAGACGATGGGCTTTTGAATTTTCAGGATCTCTTCCATGGCTTACGGTGGTAGATGACAATGCAACAGCAGAGGAAACTATGAATTTTTCTTCTCCCTAATTTGTTTTTCCTTTCTTCAGGACTTTGAGTCCTAGACTTCTTAGGAATTTTCGATTCTGTGGTGTTAACGCTTTGAGCGCTCGTCGATGACTGCTTGGAAGTGGCAATGGTGATTCACTTTTATAACGACCTCCGGATTTGATGTTGAAAACAATGCCCATATTAGGCTTTAATGTGTAATCTAATTGTTATAACCTCTCCTCTGAAATTCACCAATTGACCTTCTTGATCAACAATTCTCACTTGGAGATGGTCTATTGCTTGTACGGCGATTGGAAGGTAAATGATGTTCGATGGCACTTCAATGATCTTATATCCTGGCGGAACTGTTGGGAAGAATTCATGTACAGTGTGTACTCGCTGTTCATTGATGTATGCTCCAGTGGTGATGTTGCACTCAACTCGTAGTGAATTGACCTTGAGAATCATTACTGGCGAATCAGATTCATGACTGACATGGGGCGAGAGCATACCTTGCGTGAAACCCAATAATCGTCCAATCGAATCTTCTGGTTCAAAATTTATCGGATGACTGCATTTGATTATACTCTTCAGAGTGTTATTGTTGGGCTTAAGGCTGATATTTATGTTGTGTTTGGCCAGTTTCTCAACCAAGAAATACTCAATATCTTCGATTTCATAGCTTCCCGTTGGTATTTCAATAATTTCATCCGCCACGTAAAACTTGTTATTCCCGGTGTCAATATTGGGAATGGAATTGAAGGTTAATAGTTCAGCCAATCCTAGAGTGTGATTTTTCAATGGTGATAATTCAATTGGAGGAAAGTAATGAGCCTCCAACACCGAAGAGGTGCCTGATAATGTCAATGTAAAAGAGTCACTCATCACAGTTGATATCTAACTGATGCTCGTGGTGTAGCGGATTGAGGTTTTATATTATTTCTCCATTGAGAAATTTCAAGCAGAGATGTCCACACACCACCGTATCATAATCTTGATACCGATCATGGTTATATTTGATAATGCTACCAACACCGAAATAATCCATCAGGTCTTGAGGTGGATGAAGATTACCAAAACTATCGAAATAGATAATTTCATGCTTCCGTTTCTTGTATGCAACCCAATGCGTTCCAGGCCCGTCTTTATCATCAAGATTGACAATGCTTGATTCGTATTTCCATGGACCTGACTTGGGCATTTCGTTCCTCATATATACACCACGAAAATGTGGGATTCCCATAAGCTTGACATATTTCATCAAGTCGGTATCGGTGAGAGCTCGGTGTGGTAGCTTTATGCGTTTTTTAAATGGAGACCTAAGCCCTTCTTGTAGGGTTTCAAGTATAATCCTTTGCCCAATGCAACAGCCTCCATTGTCTGATTGTGTCTCATACTCTCCTGAAGAGCTTTCTTAGCTGTATTCGCGTCATTGATGGCTTTTGCAACACCTGCTGCACCACCAGCCAGAGCTCCGGTGGCACTCAAACCTGCAAACAGCGGTATCAAGAAGGGTATTAAACCTCCGATTTTCGCAGGTACAGGTAGAACGCGAGGTGATCGCACTTGCTTTTTACCACCGATCTTTTTCACTGCAGCGCGTGCACCTTCGAGTGCTGTTTTAATAGCATCGGTTCCCGGACGCATAGATGTTTTGGCAGCTTGTAAAATTTGCCGTAGGGCTACTTTCTTTTTTCTTCCACATCCACCACCACCACTACGTTTCCTCCTCTTCTTCTTTTTGATTCCTTTGCTCGGTTTTATCCCCATGCCTAGGGAGGTTTTCGCTTTCATGGTGTTGGCTATACCCCAAGCGGCAGCTTTTTCCCCAAGACCTGCGTCTTTCGACAAGACTCGTTTCCAGGCTTTCTCCGTGAGGACTTTATCTGCTTCGTGTCGCGCAGTGAGGTTATCTCGATTTTTAGAATAGGCTATATCGTGTTCTTTGCAGGCAGCGTCAAGTGGATTAATGCCAGGGTCACCCCGTTTCAATCGCTCCTGTAGCTTTGTTCCAGGACCACAATACTGATATCCGGGGATATGCAATTCCACAGGGAGTTTGTTGATGATACTGTTCACTAATCCTTTACCTTGACGTCCTCTCTTACGTTTGCACACCTTCATGGTCATAGAAGGACTGACTAGTGATGAGATGAACCGCGTGTATTTATATGTTCCCTGAGAGATCCCATAAAAATGATGGGCATCCGTCATTCATGTTCAGTCATCAACTATGCGTTTCAAAGAGCAGAAGACTAAGCTACCGATAATAAATTTTGATGGGTTCTCACAAAGGCAGAAGACTCGGGAGAAACGTCATGGTCCTCTGTTACCAGATAGTGTGCGTGCAGTCATCTGTGGACCGTCGAATTGTGGAAAAACAAACGCTCTACTAGCGCTCATAATGCACCCTAACGGTTTGAGGTTTGAGAATATCTATGTGTACTCAAAATCTCTCAATCAGGCTAAATACCAATTACTCAAACGTCTGCTCTTCCCTATCAAGGGAGTAGGATATTTTCCCTTTAGTGAGCATGATGAAGTCATCAAACCTGAAGATGCTCGACCAAATTCCATCATGATTTTCGATGATATTGCCTGCGAGAAACAGGATAATGTCCGAGCATTCTTCTGCATGGGACGACATAGAAATGTTGACAGTTTCTATCTCTGTCAGACGTACGCTCACGTACCTAAACATCTGGTGCGGGACAACACCAATCTCCTGATCCTCTTCCGCCAAGACGATATGAATTTGAGACACATCTATGAGGATCATGTGAATACCGATATGTCATTAGCCGAGTTCAAGGACTTATGTGCCAAGTGTTGGAATGAGGGCAAATACAGTTTCGTGGTAATTGATAAAGACAGTGAAATTGATGAGGGTCGATATCGAAAAGGATTCGACAGTTTCTTGAAGAGATAAATATGCACTATTTGGAGAATTTGAGAGCAGTTGTAGCGTGACTGTACAAGTGTCAACATGCAGAGCGACAATTTGAAAAAGGAGACGGATATCTTGCGGAATATTACTCAAGCGAGTAATGCTATTCGCCGCAAACACAAAATGATAAAATTGGGTAGGGAGACCACTGAAAGAGCTATGAGTGAAGTGTTTAAACCAGTGATAACTCCTCTCGAGAAACTGGTGGATCAATCGGTAATGAAGGAACCTTTACATAAGATAAAGAAAGAGAAGACATTTAGTGCTCCTATACGGATGAAGAAGGATGAGGATGATGATGATGATTCTGAATATAAAACTCTGGTAGATTTCCCATTCAGCATGGAAGAAGCACATTCGAGTACCCCCATGAGGAAGATATCACCAATAAAAGCCATGACTCCAACTGATCGTATTTTATCAATTAAGCTGGAATCTCCTACAGCCTCGCAGAAACATCTCGAGATGTATTTGAATCGTTATAATACAGAGCGCGAAGATAGCGATCTGGATAAGGAATTTGGTGTTCGTCGGCTGCAAGAGGGTATGAAGATTGGCGACTCTTTGGTCACGTTCCATGGCGATTCAATGACACTCAAGGGTGAAAAATACACATTAACACCCGGTTTAATCGAATTGATCTTTCAGAAATCACCTAACATGAGTCTCATAACTGAAACTGATAAGCATACCTACGGTAATATCATACAAAGTACGAATGCGTACCGAAAGTACTATAAACCAAATGGAGCTCTTCGAACAAGTACTATGATGAAATATCATAGCATCATTGAAGATATCATCAAATCCAAGAAAACTGGAATGGCCCTCCCTCATTATATGATCGCATCAGCGAAACCCAGGAAAATGGATTATGTGTACTGGGACAATCCTAATGAGCTGGTGGATAGACTCCGACTGCTCATGGCGTCACAGTCAGCTGGAAATATGAGTCACACCAATGAAATTATGTCAATAATTGAGGAATTGCGTGAAGCTAATATTATTTATTAAGCTGTAGCCAAGAAAATTCCATCATTTAAAACATGAGTGTCGACGTGTTTGGACGCCAGTTGGGTACTGGTGCTGTGAGAACCATTGGCAGCCGAGGTCCTCCAGGTGATGGATTCAAGGTCACGCTTGATGGACAATACGATATGGATCATCGGAGATTATGTAATTTGGCGGATCCTAAAGAAGAGAATGATGCTACATCTTTGAAGATATTGCGCAGTATGTTGAAGGAGGAGCTTCGTCTCATATATACTGTGACTGGAGCAATGGGTGGTAGACTTGATGGAATTCAAACGATGATTGATACATTCCAAGCAAATTTCATAGAGACCATGAAACGAAGAGATGTTAGTGAGGAGGAAGTACAAGAACGTTTGACCAATCATTCTGAGATCATTCAACGTGTAAACGAGGAACTGACAACACTGAAAGAATCGGTTATACATGAAACCAGAGTGATGGTCAATGGTTTATATTCACTGATAAGTGAGCAATTGGACGGAATAAGGAAAGAAGAAGCGACTAACCAAAATTTGGCACTACGCAATTCTGAAATAATTAGTCATTTGGATAGACGTCTAATTGTATTGGAGAATGGACAACGCGAAGGCAACAGTAGTGGAGGAGCTCCATAGACCAGCGCGCCGGAATTATCCCCGTCGACGTGTTGAAGTCCGTGGATTGGATGAAACATGGCAGGCAGATCTTGTGGATATGAGTGCCTACGCTCGTGAGAATGGAAGCCACAAATATCTCCTGACTATTATTGATATTTTCTCGAAGTATGCTTGGGCTGTGCCAATTAAGACGAAGAATGGAAAGGATGTGACCAGTGCTATGGAATCTATCCTGAAACAAGGCCGTATACCTCAGAAATTGCATGTAGATCGAGGCAAAGAATTCTACAACAGCGATTTCAGGAAGCTCATGAAGGATTATGGGATTACTATGTACTCAACCTTCAGCAACCTCAAAGCATCAATCTGTGAGCGATTTAATCGTACGCTAAAGGAGAA